ACACAAACTTTCCGTCCCGCTCGCTCCCTCCTCCGCGCCCGGCGCCTCTCGCTCCAGCCCGGCTCATTCCGCACATTCCGGCCAGTCCCCTCCCCACGACCCCCCCTTTCCCGGCCCCCCTCTCGGCTCCCTCGGGCCCGGCGAAGCGGCCCGGCCGGAGCGCCCCCAGGAGCTCGGACCAGGTAAGCCCGGCTAACGACGGGAGGAGGCCCTGGAGAGAGAGGTGGTTTGGTTGGCTGCTTCTGCGTCGGGAGGGGGGGACTCGCGGGGGGCTGGGTCCCCGAGCTATTGTCCAGCCTGAGCCCGAGCCCCGGATCTGGGTGCCGGGAAGTTTAGAGGGAAGGGGGGGAAAAAAAATCTCTCCGGGAAGCCCCGCCCACCCCTCCACTACACCCCCTCCGCGACCGGGGCGAGTTGGTCGGGGGGAGATAGGGAGCCGCGAGACTGTCCCTGGTGCCATCGCCTGCCCCACCGTCCTCGCCCGAGGTGTCGCGGCTGGGATCGGGGAGCCACACGGCTTGGCGGACCTGCCAGTGGGGAGCTCGTACCCGGGTCCCAGGCCCGGGCCCCGCCGCCCTTTGGACTCCCGGCTCTCGCTCTTCCCCAGCCAGCCCGGCCCCAGCTCCGAGCAGGCCTCGGCCCGGCCTCCCGGCGCCCAGGCCGGCACCGGCGCGCGGTGCCCTCAGCTGCGCTGGATTGTGGGGGGTGTCTGGAAGCAAAGCTGCGTGCCCTGGGCGTGTGCCCCCTGAGAGGCCGGGGTTTGTTCCCGCTGGTTCTCCTGCCCCTGTCGGGTCGGGCTTCGGAGTTTCAGCCCCGAGCTCTGCGATCCTGGCCCCCAGGGGCTGGATTTGGGGCCTTCTCTTCTGTCACACTTTAGAGCCCCTGTTCAGACTTTAGAGAGTTTGAAGAAGGCTCGTCCCTTCCAACCCCCATTGTCTGTCATGCCCTTTACTCCTGCCTGGGGAGGGCAGGCCTGGAGCGCCTGTCTGGGTCTGGTTTCCAGACTAACCAGGCCTGGAGCAGTGTCATTAAGACCCCTCTCTGTCATCTTTCAGGGAGAAGGGGCCCTGTGATTCAGGACTGAGATTCTTTCTCAACAAGAGGGAATAGGGCCTGAGGGAGGGCTTCTCAGGGGGCACTCCCTCTCTGTCTTCCCTCTCTCCTGGTAGAGGCAGAACCAGGTCAGGCCTGGACTTGTAGCCTAGGAGAGCAGGGGGTGGGGGTGGGGGCTGGACACAGCTCAGAGGGGCTGGTGCCCATGGCGGCTCTGTGTACCTGCCTCCCTCCTGTGGCCTGGTTCTGTATACACATGCTCCACACCAGGGCAGGGGCCAGGACACCGCCTTGGCCAGAAGGCTGGGGGCAGCTTGCGGCAAGGAGGGACATCCCAGGTCCCCAGAAATTGGAGGTTTGGGGGCATTATGTCCTCCTCCCTTTCAGATTCTTGCCGCTCCCTTTCCAGACCCTTCCCCTAGAGGGCCCACCACCAGAGGAGGTTCTGTGGTCTTCTGGCTCCCTGCTCACCCTGTGGACAGGGGAGGAACAGGTGGATATTCTAGAACTAGACTGTTGTGAGGATGACTTCAGGGACCCTGGGCACCCCTTCCTCAGGGAGAGACTGAGAGCCAATAGGAGTTCCAGCTTCTTTTGCCTCCCCCCACCCCTTAGGGAGGGGACAGTAATTAATGCCAATTAGCACATGGACTGGGGAATGGCTGAGTGAGATGGTCAGTGGCTGACAGAAGAGGTGTGTATGTTTGTGTGTGTGTATGTGTCCTGGACCCTGTTCATGTTCTAACACTCAGGTTTGCAGGCTCTAGTACCTCTGCCATTCAAGGAAATATTAAAATCAGAAGGAGACACCTCAAGAGAGGATGTCAAATTTGAGACCTGATGCCACTGGGCCTTCAACCAGCTGTGTTATGTTGGTGGACCTCTTTGGAGCTCAGTTTCCCGGCTTGGAGTAAATGACTTCTTGGTTCTCTTTTCTCTGAGCTCGTCCCAGAGTCTCTGTCTTCCGGTCAGCCTTCTTCCTCCTCCTGTTCTGGACCCTCAGCCTGGTGGGGTCTAGAGAAGTGGGTAGGTGACGAAGTGGACATCCCAGGGCCTGACTGAAGAGCAGCTGGGCCACATGAGCACGGCCGAACTGGTGGCAGGCACCAGGTGTCTACGGAGAGGCCAGGCAGAGTTGGGGAGGTTGGTCCTCAGTGTGGTGGTGGAGTCTGGTGAGGATGGACGCAGTGGTGTTCA